CAGGAACTTTCCCATCTCCAAAGGAGTTGACAGAAACAAGACCAGGCAGCTGAGCTTGCAGATGCTGGGGTTGGTGTGGAGGCCTCAGTCTCCAAAAGCTCTGGCTATGGATCAAGTGTTGAAGAGAATAGACTGGGGTACCCAGGTACCAAGCCAGGCACAGACAAGTTTCTCTATCTGCAAGGAGACAGCTGAGATGCCAGGACTCCTCTGCACAGTTTTGGATCCTCTCCACTTACAAAAATCTATGGATATTCCACAACTGCTAACTCGGCTCTGTGGACACCGAGAAAAGAGGGAGAAGCTAAGTCATTTTACAGAGGAAAGCTAACAGCACGCTGACTTGTTTTCCACAGGAGCCAGGATCGATACTCTGGAAGTACATGTGATTCACCCCAGTGAGACAACACTCTTGCAAACTTGGCTGGAGGCTTGCTTCTAACTGAGGACATGAAGGCTGGTGCTGGCAGAGGAAGGACGTGGACAGGAGGATGCAGTGGATGGCACTTTCTCTTCTGCCAGGACTTGACCTCCCTCTGTTAAAGCACCCTCTCACAGCAGCTAAATCTCCTCACCACAGGGTCCTGGACATGTGCATTTGGTGCAGCAGATGCCACATCAGCCAGGAAAATGGGCTCAGCAAACCAGCTCACTTGTCCGCTTGCGGCACAGAAAGGCCGCTGAGCTGGCTGGGCCAGATCCACCACTTTGCCACCACACTGCATGTCATCTGTTTTAAATTCTCATCTCTTTCAGAGAAGAGCTGGCTGTAGCCAGCAGACCTGCACACATCACCAGCCATGCCTGAACGTCCCTTCTTCTTCTCTGCATCTGCAGGAAACATTTAGTTCAGTGTTCAGTGTCCTTTCACACCTAACCAAGCAAGCAGAAGACAGATAGCTTAATAACATCAGAGCAGCAGACTCCATTTCCATCCCATTTATATGTTGTCCAGGATATGGTACCTCTTGGTTTAAGGTCAGCAATAAGTGATTGAGCCACTCCTGAACTCACAGTTTAAACTGCTTTATCAACAACATGCAATTTGGTTCCAAAGAAAGTTGGCAAAGGGAGATGACGACATTCACACCTGCGTAGAGGGCAGCTGCTGGCCACCAGGAGCGGCAGGAGACATTCAAATTCATTCTGATCCACAGCGCAGTATTGGCGGGTGCTACTCAGCCCACTCAGCTGGTGGGTGCTACGCAGCTGGGGTGTAGAGGAGAGCAGCCGTGTTTCTATGTGTGTGACCCACCTCCACTGCTGAATCCTTGTGCAGCCAGGATCCATGGCCGTCATGGTGCTTGCCCACGCCCAGGAAGGACTTATAAAGCAACCAGGAAACTTGTGCTGAACCAAGCTGAGGACAGCCCTGGGAGCTCGGATGGTCTCAGGTTGTGGTTTCAATGGAAACAGCAAAGTGTGAAGCATACAAGACATTCTCTGCCACAGCTCCCGTGCCCAGGGCCAAACAACTGCCACACTACTGTGTTTTCTATGCCCTCTCAGCAGAGAGAAGATTCACATTTCCAGTGGTGTCCGGCTGAAGGCACTTTTTAAAAATCACTCAGAATACTCTGGAGTGACACCAGGGTGATTACTTTCTGGCCAAAGACCCTACCTAATACAGTGGGTTAGTAAAGTATACAAAACTTTTGGGGGTATATAAATAAAATATGATAATCTTGAGAGATTGCTTTCTTGGATCAGTTCTAAAAAGCCTGAAACGGAAAAAGCTCCACTAAACAAGAGCCAACTGGATATAAGAATTACGCAGGCTCAGAAAGGACACTGCATTTACAGCCATTCAGCTCATGGCTGGATGAAACCCAGAAAGAAAGCGTACTAAAGCATCCATGTGGGAGAGGTCATCATCTTCCACAACCAGTCCTCACTGCTGGGTGGGAAAAGGGGCTTCACCAGCTCACAGAGGCACATGCATCTATCTCCTTGGTGTCACTTGAGACAAGGATCCCAAGTCTCCTCACAAATTAAAGACAGCGCTTGCTCATTTACATGACAGATGACATGGTGGTCAGGGGACAGGCTCTGATGGTCCAGGAGTGCAAGACAGGCAGCACAGGCTCTGTGGAAGGACTGGGCAAGGAGTTGGGACCTCCTTTACTTGGTTTCAAGGAGTTCTGCAAATAAAACCCACAGCTCAGAAAAGGTGTGAGTTTTGGGAAACAAACGAACCTCTGCAGAGCTGCTGGGCTTGTCTGGACTGTGGTGAGAAAGTGCCCACAGACAGCAAGCCCCCTTCCCACCGGTCCCTGCTCCCGCCCAGGAGCGAACTGAGCCTTTTTACTCATACAGGAACAGAGTCAGGGATCCAACATCCCAGACATCCTACACAAAATTCTTGAGGTAATCTTAAACATGTTGCTAGAGAGAGCAGCTTTGCCAACAACATTGTACAGAAAGAGAGGGGACAGTGATGAGGCACAAAGAGACTTGCTGTGGTCTGGTACCTCCATTAGGAGAATGCAGATCATCCTTACCTTAGGCATCCTGCGCAGATTGGGAGAGAGCTTCAAGGAGGTAACGTGGCCTCGTTCATCTCCAATGATGACAATAGGGTAGACAGGGTTAAACTGGATATGGGTTATTTTATTTTTCTTCTTGGCCACCACTAGCTGGGTGCATAGAGCTTCATACTTGTTAACGCTCAGATCAAACACATGGGCCTGGGGAGAAAAAAGCAAAGCACACAAAAGGGATTAATCAGGCAAGAACGTCCCTCAGCAGCAGAACGATGGCTGAAGAAATCAGAGAGAAAAGGTCCCACAGAAAGGCAGCCTCAGCACACAATTACCATCTGCAGTCAGGGCCTTTGTCCTCTTTTAAGTAACCAGTGTGCAGAAGCTGCCTGCTACTTTTGAGGGGCTGTCCCCCTCCTGCAGGGACTCATGGAGTGAGGACGAGTTCCCTGCTGTGGGTGCAAGCTCTTTTCCAAGACCCTTGGCAAGATCCCAGCTGATCCAGACTGGAGCAGGCTCAGAGCCAGCATTGCTAACCCCACAGGTCTTACAGTGCTGCAAGTGATGAGACAACCAGGTGTTAAATCAGAGTCTAACACAGATTGATGCACAAAGCAGGGAATGCTGTCAGAAATACTTATTACCCCTTATTGCAGAGCTTTCCAACATTTCCAGCTTAATAATAACATTAAAGACTCAAACCAGTAATTAACAGGGAAGTGATGGGAACATGGATGGTATGATTAAGGGTGTACCCTGGCGTAATGCCAGGGAAGCACAGGCAAATGCACAGCACAAGACAGCCTGGTGCTGGCAGCCCACTCCAGTCCAGCTGCTTCGGATGCTGTGCCTGCACACATGTCCTTCTCCCACAGCATCAAGAGAAGCGCCTAGTAAAGACTGGCCAAACGGGAAAGGTGAGGACATAGGGAGACAGACCCAAGGCCCCGCTCAGGTGGGATTCCCACTGGCACAGACCTCAGACCTATGCCCCAGACCAGCAGTGACACAGACCTGCCACATCACCAACTGCACGATAATGCACATTTCATCGTGACTCCACAGGGAACAGTGGTAGTTACTGGAGAAAATGTGTTAACATTATCTCCCAATAATTGCAATTAGCTCCTGTCATTGACACAGCCTGAAAAGGCTAATAAAACATGACATTCCTCTCTTCCCTGGTGCTGAAGTGAGCAGTCTCCAGCATGCTGGACTCCTACCTTGAATCCACCGTGGAGACTTTCAGCCTTATGCTTCTTTTCCCTTTTCTGTCTTCAGAAAAACTCAGGAAGGGACTATTTTATGCTAACATGTACAGTGAGAATATGGGGGAAATTAGGGCTGAACTACTTGCACATCTCCTGCCAGCTGTGCCTTGTTTACCAGCACTTAGGGAGACAGATGAGACATATTATTTCAACATTATGCCATGCTCACAATTTGAATCTAGGAATTATCTGAAATCGGACAGTCTTAGCCTATAAAAGCCTATTCCAAAGAGCGCAGAAGGTTTTGTATCAAATCAGTACATGTACTTTCCTATCACACGCCAATGAGTTGGTGAATTTTATCTGAAACCGTGTATAGCAAAGAGCTGGGCAATGTGCAAGCACACATCCCAGGCAGTCTCATGAGCCTCTGTGTCTTTGCAGGACTCAACATCTAGCAATTTGTGATGTCCTTGGTCTGGGCAGGAGAACCATGCAAAAGTTTTATAGATGCAGAAAACAAGGTGAGGAAAACTCCCTCCAGACTGAGGTGAAATAAGACTTTTCCAGATGGGGAAGAGCTTGAAAAGTGGTCAGGGTCCTCAGACATAGTTTGAAGAAATCCACAACAGTATAACTCAGGAAAGGAATCCAAAGCATCAGCCACGGATGAGGATCTGCAGTTTGGAGAGTCATTCTCCAGTCAGCAGAAGCATAGGTGGAAAAAAAGATTTCATTCTCATCTGCTCAAACTATCAGATGCCAGCATTAAATTCTGAATTCAAAATCTGACACTTGAGGTCCCACAGCCAAGGTAATCCCAATTTTGTACCTCTAGGCATAAACAAAGTTATCTGTCCTGGCTTGTACTTTATACCTGCTGTCTTACAATCTCTGAAAAGGAACAAGCTCTCCTTCAAGACTATCAGCCCCCCATGACCCACACTCACTGAAGATTTAATTGCTTGCCTGCACAGAATACATTTTTATTAACTTAAGTGCATGATTCACCCCTCCACCCCTTGCAATGGTGCAAGCTCAGTGCTTAGTAATGTAAGAGCCTGGGAAACGCCCACCGCTTGAGTACCATCAATTAATCGAGAAAAAAAAAGCAACATGTAAGTAGTGGCCAGGTTTCTTTTCAGCGGCCACGTCTGCACTGCTGTTCTAGAAGACTGTCAGTGTATCACACCTGCACACCCTACCCAGCACTGAGGTGGAGAAAGATGGCATGTCTGAAGGCTCAGTGATGGAGTGCTGAGCAACGCAAATTACTCTGTGTGAGGCTGCTTTTCAAAAATGTCACTGACAGCCCAGACAAGCACAATGCCTGGGACAAGAACTCGAAACCATCAGCAATGTGGAGAAGGTCAAAAGCAAACAAGTTTATGAATGTTCCTACTATAAAGTTCCTCTTTCACGAGCTTTGAAACAAACAGCCTTGTTTTTCTTTGCCAAGCGAATCATGGAAAAGAACGAACTATTTCAGTTCTTCAGCTGGAAACATCAGCCTCCTATCAGCTGCCAGACACTCCAGATGGAGGGGTGGGCCACAGGCATTAGGAAGGACTTCAGAGGCTTTGATTTAGATGTTTACAGGCACTCTCAGGAGAGAGGGAAATGGGGTCAGACCAATAGTGCTATCAGTGCTTTGAGAGTAACGTAAAAGGGGCACAGGGCTTCCCACAACACTTGAGGCAGCTTAACAGTGCTGTAAAGCAGCAGAGCTGCATGTGACCAGCACCATCTGCAGATCTGCCTGCGACCTGGGACTTCCTGCCCAAAGAACAGGAGATTGAGAACGTGCAGCTCTCCCTTGTGGTTCCTAGTCCCGTGAGCTGCCCTGCTGCCTCAGGTCCTGGAATAAGCATTATGGAGTAGGCTCCAGCTGCATCTCCCACCCCAGAGACTCACTAACAGCACACAGCTTCTCTCCATTCCACTGCCCTGGCAGGCCTTGTCCCTCCAGACTACAGATCATTGCTTACATGCAAAGACAGCCTCTCAGGTCTTGCAGGATGAGCCCTCTCTGAGTATGCGACCCAGAGAAGTGCAACCGTGACCCATAGAAGTGCCACCCAACCCCACGTGTGACTTGAGTATCAGGCTTATGGGGAGCCAGGATGGCCAGAGCCACATCCAAACATTCACCTTGGAGAGCAGGTGTCTCCACAGGGCACCCTTCCTCCCAGATGAGAGCTGCCAGCCAGACAGTGTCAGGCAGCTGGTGCAAACTGGCATTTTTGATGAGGGCTGATAGTTGTTTAACTTTCCACATGTGGCAGACGAGCACATTTACATATTCATTGACATACAACGTGCAACGTCATCCTGGGCTCCTACAGCTCACAGGGCAGGCCTGCTTCCACCTGTCTGCCCCCCCCATGCCTCACTCAGTACCATAGCATCACCCAGACTTTAATCTCCAGCAACACAGCAAGGCGGTGATGCTTGTCAGAATGTGACACTTCATAGTTCAATGAATCCATGGGAAACACAGTAAATTGCTCAGGGTCCCTAAAGCAGAAAGAGTAACTTTGATGGGAAGACAGCGTATAGCAACACGGCAGTGCAGTGCCCTGTGCTGGGACATCAGCTTGAGTTTTAATGGTACTGAGAACTGTGTAGGAACAAAAAACATGTCAAGGTAGCATCCTTGTCAGAGCTTACAAACCAGTGTGGGTCCCCCCCGTGAACAGCCCACTCTTCCCTGCCAGCTCTGCATGCCACTTGTTCTCATGCTGTCTAGGCTGGTCCCACCACTTCCCTCCCCTGCAGGTGCTGAGACCTGGGGCCACCACAATCACTCACCCACGCTCAACCATCAGCAGTTTAGAAACTACAGGCTGAAGGTTTCAAACCTCTGCTTCTCAGCCCTCAAAAAGTGTTTCCACTGTGGTACATGTCCCCAGAGAGGAAGCTGAAGCCTCCTGACAATAAACTTGCTTTTATCAGATACCTTCTGCAGATCCTGTAAAAACAAACCAGCGACCTGCAGCGCCTGGGCTGCTTGCAGACCGCGGCAGACACCTTCATTCTTTCTGCTAATAAGCATTCAGATAATGGGAAAGGGCATTTCAGTTCTTTTGTTATAGAGCCCTTAGGAACAATGTGTGGCCACTTCCTTAGGGGGACTTAAATCAGACTCCAAGAATAAGAAACCTGGAGAGAGGGACAGAGAGGGAGGTAAAAGAAACTGAAAATGCCTGAATGAGGAAAGTGCAAGAACTCTTCTCTGCTTTCGCCAGCTCAGCTGCAGATCCTCAGGGAGAATAAAGCATTGAGCAGTAACCAGTGAATCCAACAGCCATTTTATTTCTGGTCCTCTTCAACTTGTGTGCCCACCCCAGGGAAGTGCAGGAAGACATGTACCACCCTCCAAACGAAGCCAAGCTGTTGGGCCAAGCATTTCCTTGCAGCATGGGGATTTATGAGTTGGTATCAACAACCATAAAAAGAAACCTAAATTCACAACACCAAAGTGCTGGACAGTTTGATGGTAGCTAAGCCAGGAAGATGCTCAAAGCAAACTTCTCCTTGATGGAAGGACAGTAACTCTGGTAACTCAGTGGCCCCTGAAAAGGCGCACTGAATTTAAGCAGATGCCCAGTTATCTCTGAGATGGGATCAGGTGAATCCTGTAGTCTCTGATGTTTTTTATTCAAATAGAACATTGTAAAATTACAATCAGGGTAATGACAGAGCCATCATGCTTGATGTACGGGCAATAACGATCTAACTCTGCTGTGCTACATTTGCAGAAAAATATTTGATATAAATGGGCTGCTTTGATGCCTGAGTCTCAAACAGCCAGAGAAGAAATCCAGCTCAGTTGCATCCAGACCAACAATTCCTCTGTCTATGAGTCATGCAAATGTATTCCACCTCCCAAAATCCAATGGTTCCCCACTGAGGCTCCCAACAGCTGCTCTGTAAGCGTGGCACAGTGAATGTCCAAGGCTATTACCATAGCTCCAGCATCACGTTTAGAGTTTT